GAAGACGGACAGACAGACAGACGGACGGACACCGGACATTTGTATACCATAATACGTCCCGTCAAAAATTGACGAGCGTATAAAAACAGTTGAAGAAAAAAGAGCTAAAACTAATAGCCAAACCCATCTAAGGTCAACTTTGCCTGAGGGAGTTAAAACTTTTAGTTTCTTAATAATTTATATATTTATATAAAGACAATTTAAGAAGGTTTGTTATAAATCATGTCAGTACCGAAGTACTGACTAATGAGCTGATGAGATAACCTCCAGGACTGATAGTCCACAAGCAGCGATAGCGACTTAGTGCTGTAAAAAAGAAAACACACTTTATAAATTTCATGCTTACGAAGTGCTTTTCTGGATTTACCTTCATCAAGAAAGCTCAGAGTCAAATCCGAATATTTGAAAGCCAAGGATATATAAGAACCAAAACAGTTGAAGAGCTATATGACCAAAAAGGACAAGAAAATAAAATCCAAATCTATCTTAGTTTCTTCCTCATTTTTCAGTACACTAATTTTCCTTGGAGTTCGTTTTTTTGTTATTTTATTTTTTTCAATGAAAATTTCACAACCAAATGTATGAAGAAAAAAAAAAAAAAGTTTTAATATGCATCAATTGCATACAAACTTAACCTATAGAATTTTACAGAGATATATGTACATATAAAATAGCAACATAAAGTTAACTGGAAAAGACTATACCATTTTCCAATCAGTAAACCTTTTGTCTATTTTGTTTATATAACCATTTGATAATTGCGGTAATTAAAAGTGGGCAAACCAGGATGTAACCATTACTAATACATAGACTGAGTATTTTACTACAGTCAGGGCCTCAGGGGTAACAGATTCTAAAAAAAATCCCATAACTATATAAATCATTCATTCATAGAATTTTCCATAACTGGGAAAGAATCTTCTTCATAATCAATCATGAGACAGCCCTCTCGGCAAAATTTAGATTTATTTTCTTGTTAATTTTTTTGTATTTTACAGATAAACGAGGGTCTGGATGGGGGGGTCCTTTATTTCTGTATTCTTTCATTTTTCCGGTCATTTTTATACGACTGTCAAATTTTTGACGGGACGTATTATGGTATACAAATATCCGGCGTCCGTCCATCTGTCTGTCCGGCGTAAACATGTCGCACCATAACTTGAGAATGACTTATCCAAATTTCATGAAACTTAACATAGTTGTTTCTTATGATGGTCAAACGATCTGTATACTTTTTGGTGAAAATAAGATTAAAACTTTTTGAGTAACAGGACTTAGTAACTAAAACAGGTGTGTGTTTTTTTTCACATGTCGCGCCATATCTCAAAAACAATTTATGATTATTGCTTAAAACTTTACACACTTCTTAGTTATATTAATCTTAAGATCTGTATACTTTTTGGTGATGATTCAAAATTTTATTTTAGAGATATTGAGTATTTTGTTAAAAAAGGGGGAGGGGTTTTTCACATGTCACGCCGTATCTCAAAAACAGTTTAAGATTATTGCTTAAAACTTTACACACTTCTTAGTTATATTAATCTAAAGATCTGTATACTTTTTGGTGATGATTCAAAATTTTATTTTTGAGTTATTGAGTATTTTGTAAAAAAAGGGGGAGGGGTTTTTCACATGTCGCGCCGTATCTCAAAAACGATTTATGATTATTGCTTAAAATTTTACACACTTCTTAGTTATATTAATCTAAAGATCTGTATACTTTTTGGTTTTGATTCAAAATTTAATTTTTGAGATATTGATTTTTTTTTTTTTTAAAGGGGGGTTTTCACATGTCGCGCCATATCTCAAAAACGATTTATGACTATTGCTTAAAATTTTACACACTTCTTAGTTATATTAATCTTAAGATCTGTATATTTTTTGGTTTTGATTCAAAATTTTATTTTAGAGATATTGAGTTTTTTGTAAAAAAAAAAGGGGGTTTTCGCATGTCACGCGATATGTCAGAAACTATTTATGCTTACTGCATAAAAATTCACACACAAGACGACGGGCGTATCATGCGCTCATTGCGCAGCTGTTTTTATCTATTCTTTATACTTTTTGCCCATTATTCTCTATTCTTAATTAATATTTCAGCACCTCATTATTCTCTATTCTTTATTTTTCTGGTCCATTTTTCACTATTTTTTAAAAAATTTTACCCAGTATTCTCTATTCTGTAAACCTCCATCCACACCCTCATAAATGGACTTAGTTTTATATTTATGTTGCTATACATTTTTGTGAAAAACTCCTTTTTGCAAATTCTCTCCTTATGATTCAAATTTAGCAAATCTAGTTCCAAAACAAATCAAATGATTTATCTATTTTTATGCCTTATTAAAGCATTTTGAAACATTATCTCCATCAATGATTGAAGTTTGGGGTTAAAACATGCATATATGGGACCCTCCATTTATTCTCTAAAAAATGCCTGTTCCAAATTAGAATGATCATACTAGCTAGCGTTTTCTTTGGTTGGTTAGTTTTTACAAGTCACGAGGTATGAATTTCAATTTCTTTTTCACCACACATTTTCCTTCTCTGCAAACTTTGACACAAAATTTACATACTTTTTGAAAAATTCACAAAAATATTACTCAGAAAGTGAAATGATATGAATGAAGGGAAAAATAACATTAAACAAGTTATTTATGTCTTCAAATGTTATTAGGTATTTTTTTCTGAAGTTAAAACACCAAACTATGTGTGTTTACATTATGAAAAGTTAAAAAGCAACGGACGACAAAACTATGACCTTATATGTGTTTAAATCAGGAAAAACACAAAAACATTATGAACAACTGAGAAGAAAAACCTAAGACCAGAATGAGTGTGAACAATAATAACTGAAGACAAAACTGTGATTGAAATATTTGTTTACATCAAGAGAAAACATTAACAACTGAAGACAAAACTATGAACGAAATATGTGTGTTTACATCAGGAGGAGAACAAAAATAACAGATGACAAAACTATGACCAAATATGTGTAAAATTGAGAATGAAAACGGGGAATGCGTCAAAGAGACAACAACCCGACCAGAGAGCAGAAAACAGCCCAAGGCCACCAATGGGTCTTCAACACAGTAAGAAAATCCCACACCTGGATGCAGGCTTCAGTTGGCCCCTAAATAGTAATGTATACTAGTTCAGCTAAAATGGACATCACACTAAACTCTGAAACATTTAAATGAACCAAAATTAAAAAATACATCCAAGACTAACAAAGGCCAGAGGTTCCTGACTTGGACAGGCGCAAAAATGCAGTGGGGTTAAACATGTTTTGTGAGATTTCAACCCTTCCCCCTATACCTCTAGCCAATGTGGAATAAACAAACACATATCAATACGCATAGTCAAATTCAGTTTAAAAGAAGTCTGAGTCCAATGTTAGAATATATAGGTTACTGTGTTTACATCAGGAAGAAAACAAAAACAACTGCAGACAAAACTATGACTGAATATGTGTGTTTATATCAGGAGAAAAATAATAACAACTGCAGACAAAAAATTTAATGACCAAAATATTTGGGTTTTTTATCAACAGGAGAAAACAAAAACCACTGAAGGCAAAAAAAAATATGACCAAAATATTTTGTTTTTCATCTGACAGGAGAAAACAATAAAATGCAGCCTGATACGAAAGCAGAGGTCGAACCCTGAACAGTTGGGGCAAATTTGGACACAATATTCAAGCTTGATACTGTCTGAATTTGGTTTGTGATCAAATTTTTGACTTAATATAGGTTTCTGACACAAAATAAATGTGGTCAAAGATCTTACAAATCTATTGCGCAATACTGTGCAATTGAAGATTTCTTCTTGAAACTTTTCAAAAATTCGAAATTTGAAAAATTTTGAAAAAAAAATATGAATCCTTTAAAAAAAATTGTAAACAAAAAATCCCCCTTCCCCAACTTATTGAAAACCCCCCCTTAGAGCAATAACCCCAAAACTCAATCCCAGCCTTTTCTTTGTAGTATGGAATCTTGAAGTATAATTTCAGAGAGATCCATACACTTAAACACAAGTTATTGTCTCGAAACTAGAAAAATGCTTCTTTTTGGCCCTTTTTTGGCCCCTAATTCCTACATGTATGGGACAATAAACCCCAAACTCAATCCCAGCCTTACCTTTGTTATATGGAACCTTGTGGTACAATGTCTGAGAGATCCATACACTTACACACAAGTTATTGTCCCGAAACTAGAAAAATGCTTGTTTTTGGCCCCTTTTTGGACCTTAATTCCTAAACTGTTTGCCCCATAACGGTAAACCCTTAAAATAAATCCCAACCTTCTACTTGTGGTATTAAACATTGTGGTACAATTTCAGAGCAATTGAAATACTTATACACAAGTTATTGTCCTGAAACTAGATAAATGCTTGGTTTTGGGCCCCTTTTGGGCCCCTAATTCCTAAACGGTTGGGACCATCATCCCTGAAATCATTCCCAACCTTCCTTTTGTGGTATTGAACCTTCTAAAAAATTTCATAGAGATCCATTCATTTAAACTAAAGTTATTTTGTCCGGAAACAAATGTGTCTTTTGACGACGACGACGACATCATAACATTATACGATCCCAAAAAAAAAACCAACTGAAGACAACATAATGACCATGTAAATTAACTTCAGAAAATTCTTCATTTTTCGAAAACCTGTTTTGTGAAAAAAATTCCATATTTGATGTGTGAAAAGACTGAAGATATGTACCGATAATCAGGTTTTATGCATATTGATACTGTAAAATACCAGGCGCTAGACAAAATATGAAGCCTTTTAAACTTGCTTACTACACTCACTCGACAAAAAGCTTCATATTGTGACTTGCTGAAAAGTAACAGTATCAATATGCAATTAACCTGATAATCGGTACATGTACTATCTATCAAAAGGAACTTTTAAACAGTATTACATTAACCAATACTTCTCTGAGACATTCAATTATTAACCCGTCCATTCAAAAGTTAAATTAAATAAAATCTTCTTACCTGTTTCCAATCAAGAAATACTTTTCACACGTACATTTCAAACTTGTCAATCATATGTTCTGAAAAATATTTTAAATTTTGATAATTATTCCGAATCATTATCATTCTTCTGTCAATATTCAACAATAGTGGAATAATTAAACCTTCTTTGAGCTGATAATTACAGGTAAACAGACCCCCAACTGAGACATCCCCAACAGTGTAAAGGTAAATAAAAACAAAATATTTAAATCTATGGATATATCTTTCTGCCTTTTATAATCAGATTGAGATAATTAAATCAACAGTATTTAAATTCAATATATTTAGTGTCAACAAGTCGATAAATTAATAAACAAAACAAAAAAATCGGTCCCGGTGTTATTTGGTGTACAAATTACTGCTGAAACAAGTACAAAGGGAGATTACAAGAAATATGTATTTTCCATTTAAAATATCATAAATGTGAATTAATATACTTAATGACAGTGACTATTGTAACTAATTTTATGGTTCTGGTCCTGTTTGTGATAGAATGTACATGATTTATATAAGATAAAAAAAAATATTACAGGTTTATAATTATACGAAAATTTAATATTTCTTCTTAAATGTGAAAATGTTTTAAGAAATCGTGGTGTACTGTTTTATATGTGGAATGTCATATTGCCCATTAAGGGTCAATAATTGGAACAATTTATATTCTTCTATATATTCTAATCAGATCTATCAAGTTTTTATTTCCCCCCACTAACTTTAATTTAATTAAATGATGAAATGTTTTTCATATAAAAACACAGGTAACAGGTATGTCATGTTTAGTAGAAGTTTTCATGAAATCACAATTATTGAAAGAAAATTTTTGAAAATATTATTAAATCATAGAAAATTATAAATGCATGAAATGTAAACTCACCCAGCAGAATTGATCAATCTCAGACTTCAAAAAAATATCAATGATAAAAGAATTTTTTTGTTTAAAAACGCATACATTGCCTATTGGATCCGATGTATGTCAAATCTTGTAGAATTTGTCATATGATCACATTTTTTTACATGGCAAATATTATGTAGTGATATCAAATTGTCAGAAATAAGTAAATTTAAACATAGAATGGAGAATGGAAATATGGAATCATGTGTCAAAGAGACAACATCCTAACCAGAGCAGAAAACAGCCCAAGGCCAAATGGGTCAACGCAGCAAGAAAATCCTGCATCCAGAGGCGGGCTTCAGCTGGCCCCTAAACAATAATGTATGTTAATTCAGCGAAATGGATGCCACACTTAACTCTAAAACATACAAATGAAGAGGGGGCATACATCCTCTACCCCTCACGGACCTACCCCTCACAGACTCCATCGCTGATATGATGAGTGCATTTATAAAACTTCTTTTATAAAACAAGTCACATTAAAACAAGAAATTATTTTGTAATCTGAAATATTCAGTAATGTAGGCATGTAAATAATGTTAGGCTAGCTGCTTTAACATCATGAACATAGAATATTTATACAAATCAACACTTCTATTTAATACAGTGTTTAGAGAAGTCCAAGCAGTTATACTTCTGTAATGAACTCGTTAGATACACATTAGTTGCCAATTGGAACAACAGGACAGCACTGTGTGTTTATGGGGTTCAAAATTTCAAAAATTGTACCATATCACTACATGTCAGATGCAGATCCAGGATTTTGAAAAAAGGGGGGCCTGGGGTGCCACTAGGCACAGTTTTCAGTATGACATCTAAAAAGTCTATGCATATACCATGTTGAGCTCCATAAAAGAGGGGGGCTGGGCACCTTGGTCCCTTAGCCACTATATCCACCTCTGCATGTATATAGGACACAACTTTAACCAGTCAAAGTTATTGAATTCTTTTATTTTACAAGCATCAATGTCATATTGAATGACTTATGTGTTAAAATTATGATTATGGACGAAATCAAACCAAAATAAATGAATAAATAAAATAATTTAAGAGGAATTTCTATCATGTCCATGAGGTTGTTTATTAGCAAATCTGATTTTTATCATCTGAGAGAATCAGATGTGTGATCAGTTTTGAATCATTAAAAAGACATAAACTTTTTTAGCAGTCAAAATTTATGATTGACAATATTCTGATTACTTTACGATAACTGTCAGATGTAAAACATTGTTATAATAATCATTTATTGATATTAAAAAGGATCATATCAAATTGGAAACAAAATTTTTTTTTAGAATAATCATGACAAATTTTGCAAATTTAGTTCAGATTATAAACAAAAAGCACTCTAATCTTTTAATTGCAAATTCTCTGTAATGATTGTTGAAGTTTAAAGTAATTAGAATTAAAAATGGATCAAAAACTCGAGTTGCCCAGAATGTTTCCTTTAACAATGGAGAATGGTCCTCAATGAAAATTAAACATTATGAAAATATAAAGTGTGAATGAAAAATAAATAAGTTCAAGTCTAGAAAAATTAAAAATAGATCGAGAATGTGTCCATAGGACCATGGGAAACCACTTGCATATAACGTTAATACTTATACAGGGACATTAATTAAGAACGGTAAAAGTGATGCCACCTAAATTAATAAACTGCTTCGCTGAGCGCAGCTGGATACGCCCGCAGAGGTCTAACCCCGAACAGTTGGGGCAAAAATGGACACAATATTCAAGCTTGATACAGGTCTGAATTTGGATTGTAATTAAATATTTGACATACATGTATTATAGGTTTCTGAATAAATGTAGTCAAAGAACTTGAAGTTGGTTATATGAATTGAATTTATATTCAATTAAAGATTTGACTTGCTGTTGTGCAATACACTGTGCTGTTGCGCAATACTTAGTAAATCTGTTGTCAGACTATAAACAAATAAACTTTATAAAATTCTAAAGGGAGCTTACATCTATAGATATAAACAGTTCACCAAAGTTTCATACGAATTGCTGAAAGCATTTTTGAGTTATTGTATGAAAAATGGAAAATCCCCCCTTTTTTAATGAATAAACCCCATAATTCGGAAATGTAAAATCTAAAATTTATAAAATTCTAAAGGGAGCTTACATCAATAGATATCAACAATTCATCAAAGTTTCAGGAGAACTGCTGAAAGCATTTTTGAGTTATTGTCCTAAAACTGGAAAATCCCCCTTTTTTTATGAATAAAACCCCATAACTCGGAAACGTAAAATCTAAAATTTATAAAAATCCAAAGGGAGCTCATGTCAATAGATATAAACAATCAACCAAAATTTCTTGCAAGTTGGTGAAAGCATTCTTGAGTTATTGTCCAAAAACTGGAAAATCCCCCTTTTTTTAATGAATAAAACCCCTTAACTTGGAAACGTAAAATCTAAAATTTATAAAAAACAAAAGGGAGCTCACGTCAATAGATATAAACAATTCACCAAAGTTTTATGCAAATTGGTTAAAGCATTTTTGAGTTAATGTCCGACATGTTGACGACGGACGGACGGACGGACAGACGGACAGACGGACGTACAAAGGTATACCATAATACGTCCCGTAAACGGGCGTATAAAAATAGATCAGAGTTTTGTGGTAATAAGCATTGTCTATAAGTTTCATAACATTTGGTTGAGGCAAACTAAAGTTAAAGAACGGAAACCTGTTTCAGGACGTACGGATGTACATAGGGACAAGGGTAACACTTAATGCCCCCTCCGCTGTGGCAGGGGCATAAAAATTGTCAGACAGTTCAAATATTGCAGGCGCACAACTTTAATATGTGTGTTTTTTTTTTTGGTGAGGTTTCAAGGATTGATCTGGGTTGCAAACTGCATGAGGAGTTAATTACATGAAAAAGGTACTCACTTTATATGGTTTATTGTGGTGACCAGCTGTTTACCCCCATTAAAATTTATATAGTTTACTACTGACCCTCTATGGAACAGTAGGGAGTCAGTGGTGAGCCATTTAACGATTTTTTCACACACAAATCTTTTCATGCCAAGTTTTGTATAAAAATATACAATCAAATACAATAACATTATAGATGACGTCACCAATAGTAGTAGACGTGACGTCATGATACTCCTATGGCATTTACTGACCCCCTTGGGCTACGGAACTATAGGGGTCCAGTGATCTGGAAGGATTTTTTCTCTATGGGCCCAGGGCCCCGCAAAAATAAATTCAATGGGCCATTTTTAGAATTAATGGGCCATGTTGTCAAATGAGTGGGCCATTCGTTTACAATAAAAAAAAGTGTATATTTCACTGTACTTACAAGTATGATTCTAATTAATATCATGGATATTGTTCTTGTGATTTTGTAGTTTCAATTTCAATGAATATACAATAACTTCTTCCAAACCGGGGAATATTTACGATAACCTTTATTTACAATGTTAAAACTGGTACTGTTCCCTTGTTCATGTTCATGTTTTTTTTACATTAAATTTGGGTCTTTGTCGATACCATACTTATTCCAGACGTTCTGTAGTAGAGGACGTTTCTGGCATTTCCTCTGCACTTGTATTATTATTACTTCATCACGATGACAAGAATAACAGTCGTTTATTGATAAGACACAACAACAATTCGCTGAAGGCATGTTTACAAAATGTCAAAACGAGCCAAAGACCAAAAAAATTGACAAGGACAGTTAAGCCCCTTTTATGGAGACAAATACTATGCTATTCATAAAAAGGCTTTTGAATTTTTCAATCGAAATAATAGCAAGCTTACTTAAAAGATTATAATTAGAGAAGAATTCTCACCTGTACTAGCCAATTTCCACAAATTTAAAGTTGTTTATAAAAAAATTATATCATGAATGATGGTTAATTACGTTTTTTGGGTAATCAGTCATACCGTATGTTGCTATTATTACCATAGGAAAACACCCGAGACGTCCCAAAAATATGTAGGTGCTCCTATAATTGGAGTAAACACTACACAGTTGTGTACGCACACATGGCGGCACAATATACGATCGGAAATCTATTTGACGATATCTCAACGTTTCAAAACGAAGTGAAAAATATCATGCGCCACGCGGGCGCTTACATTTGTCACTCTATGCGCCATTTCTGGTCGATAAGCGCAATTGGCGCAAGGCGCACGTCCTTCCCGATCACTGGGGGTCACCACATTACACTGACAGCATTAAACCAATCACATGTGATATTATACTTTCTTTTAAGGCAGAATTCAATAGCCTCCTTGTGGGGTTTTTGATTATGTTATTACTTGGCCGTTTTTATAGTGATTATTTGATTAAAAGATCAAATATTTCATGATTATTTGATTATTTGATAATCTAGGACTGTATTTTTGATAACTAGATTATCTTGTTTAAAAAAATTTGTACTTTATCCGAGTTTTCTGGTAATAAGCATTATGTATAAGTTTCATAACATTTGGTTGAGGCAAACTTAAGTAAGAGAACAGAAACAAAAAATTCAGCAATTTTTCCATTTGTAAAGGGGCATAACTCTAGAGCAGTAGATGTGACGCCAGTGACCGAAATTCAAACTTGATCTGTGTTATGTGGTAATAAGCATGGTGTATAAGTTTCATAACATTTGGTTGAGGCAAACTAAAGTTGGGGAACTAAAATAAAAAATTCAGCAATTTTTCCATTTGTAAAGGGGCATAACTCTAGAACAGTAAAAGTGATGCCACCAAAATTCAAACTTGATCTGTGTCTTGTGGTAATAAGCATTGTGTATAAGTTTAATAACATTTGGTTGAGGAAAACTAAAGTTAAAGAATGGAAACCAATTTTTGGACGTCAGATGGACGTACAGGTGGACGTATGTACAGACGGACAAGAGTAAAACTTAATGCCCCCTGCGCCACGGCGGGGGCATAAAAATAATTAATGATGACTTGATTATATTGGCAAAAAAAATGTGATTATGTGATTACTTGGACACCCCCATCCCGGGCCATGAGGGGCCTCATTCAACAACTCCTTAGATTTTTGACAAATTTTCTAGTCTATGCCATCTTGAAGACAGTGAGCAGTAATCTGTATTATGGAGAAAGCCAAATGGTTCTGGAGCACTGCATAGTAAATATCAAAGACTAGTTCACTGACTTAGGTGAAAATACTTTCAGATACTGAGATAGCCAGACAGCTGTTAGCCTCCTGTATTCCTGACTCTCAATTTGAAATCAACAAACTACATTGCACATTGACACCATTACAGACATTCAGGATACATTATTGTGTAAGGGGCCAGCTGATGCCCACCTCAGGGTGCTGGATTTTCTCGCTGTGTTGAAGACTCATTGGTGGCCATGGGCTGTTTTCTGCTCTTTGGTCGGGTTGTTGTACTTTGACACATTCCCCGTTTCCATTCTCAATTTTATTCAGGAAACCATTGGGACCCTCCTGAGACACAGCCCTATCTTGGATCCCAGGCCAATACAGCTGGGTGCCATATAGCGGACCATTTGGTAAAAGATGCTGTAAAGGAGGCCTCAACCGTAAATGACCAATGTAATGTCATAACAATAACAGATGGTCCAAGTGCAGTCAGGATGTCAACAAAACTGAAATGGCAAAGTACAATGTAGATTGGACCATAAGTACAACTGGGAGACAACTGTATGATCCAGAACCTATTCTAATTCACTATTGTTGGTAAGGTTGTATAACTTGATTATCCTAATCCTGAAATTAAGGGAGAATTTTGTCAGAATTAAGAACATGTTTTAACAGACTAAAGAAGTACCGTCATCAAATAGGCCAATCATTCACGCCATATTGTGAATGTGATGAAGAGGAAACGACAGAATACTTCTTTGTCAACAAGATACCAACAAGAAAGAAAAGAATTTAGACAGTTGGAGACATGGAAAATCAGGACAGATATATATGATAGCACTGCTGACATCAACAAAGAAAGAGACCTACAAAAGAACAGGACATATTATAGAATATTTAGAGAGTACAGGGCGATTTCAAGTACTAGAAAGCCCTGAATTTCGATCATAAGCCTTAAAAGTATATACTGAGAGATAATTTACTTAGAGTACCAGATGAAACAAATAGTATAACGTGACAAGTCGCAATACAATGTACTGATCTTAGGACCAGTGCAGATGAATGTGAAATTAAAATTGACAGGTCTACTAAATTTTTCTATTTACACCTAGCAAGACTTAAGGCCGCTTAGGCGCTAATTTCTGTTGATGGCAAGTTCGTTTACTTACCATTATGTTAATGAAATGAACTTACTTAACTTACCAGACGAATAAAATCAGGGTCTGACCCTAATATATTACTGTCCGAAAGGGAAAACCACTTGTCCTAATTTTGTTTTAGCTTAAGAAATTTAAAACTGACATTAACAGACATAAAATCAGGTTTATATTGCAATTCAAAAAGTAAAGAAATCTAGTTAATTACTGAAAGTGTTTTACCAAGCCACTCAAATCACACCAGTCATCACACCGGTTAATCAGTGAGCTAAGTGAAATTCAAAGAAGAGTAATGATTTTAGGTCACAACATATCATTATTGTAATTTTCACCGTTTTTAACTATCAATTTTTACTTGGCAAGTGGACAAGTATACTGCAGCTTCGACTTGCCAGATGATTACTTTCACCTTTCTGGGCATTGGACAGCAAATAATGTCGAACCCTGGAGACAACCAGACTTAAGGTATTTACAGAACTTTAAATTCATACTCAAAATATTTTAACATTTTACATTAACTCTGAGACTACTCTAAGTCTCAGATTGAATTATATACAATTTAAGTAAATAACGCAATAGTTTGTGAATTCCTATTGGGATACGAACATGTGAGCTGTTTTAAAAGGGCTCCCAAATATAAAAACACTGCCCTCCGAAATTATATATCCCAAAATAAAGGGTTCTACTTTAAATGCGTTTTTCCTAGTTTTGATCATATATAATAGCATAATGAAAATTTATATATGATCGTGTTGTCATTTCAGAGGTAAAAAGAAACTTTTAATCTCTTGTCATGAAGTTTTTATCATACCTTTTTACTTAAATATGAACCTACATGCTTTAACCCCTTGCAAGCCAAAATAATACTTTCAACTGGTCCTTCAAACAAATATAAAGTCGGAACCCAGTCGTACATGACGTAAAATTTGCAAGGGGAATAACAAATCTTCTTTCGTTACAAATCCTTTTTTTTCAAGAGTTATCTTTCTTTCAATATAATTATTACAGTGTCATTATTGGAAATCATTGTTTTACTGAATTGATCAGATATTATAATACATCTATATTATATGTCTCTGAATTTGGCAAACTAGAATCTCAGGTAAATATGAAACAAGAATCATGCTTTAGTTCCTTATAAAGGATAAAAGTTTTCCTGAAATTTTTTTGTGTACCTTTATTTACTATGAAACTTCATTCCTTTACTTATTCTACACACTAGATTCTTATGTACCATTGTACTAACTTAAATCTGGGACATAAAAGTCCCAGCTTAAATATGAATACAGATTTATTCTCTAAGCAAAATATCCGAAAAATCTTATAAAATTAATTTGCCTAAGATTTGTGTGTGTAACTTGATACAGGAGCTTCTAAGGAAGAATAAAAAGTACATAGCATTACTCTTTTAAAAACAATAATAACAAAAATAACGAACTCCAAGGAAAATTCAAAACGGAAAGTCCCTTATCAAATGGCAAAATTAAAAGCTCAAACACATCAAACGAATGGAAAACAACTGTCATATTCTTGACTTGGTATAGGCATTTCCTTATGTAGATGATTAAACCTGGTTTTATAGCTAGCTAAACCTCTCACTTGTATGTAATGAACTCAAAATTTTATAAAGGCATTTGAAAAAACCTGGATGGTATACCTGCTGCAGATTTTTATTATTATTTTTCATTTTTTTTGTCACGTATCATGAGCCACTGCATGTATGGTGACGCTAATTAACTTTTTGGATTTGACTATTTGAAACATTATTTTCTTTGAACATTGAAGATTTACCGATAGTGGTCATTTCACTAAGGTTTCATAAGTTTGTCAATTTGCACTTTGTGCAGTGGATAGTTCACAATGGAAATAGACCACACTATATACTCCTAGAAATAGTTGCGGAATATATTCAAATCATATATCTGAATTTTATCAAAACTTCTGAGATAGTATAGAGAATGGAAACAACCCGACTAAATAGCAGAAAACAGCTCAAGGCCACCAATGGGTCTTCAACGCAGCGAGAAAATCCCACACCCGGAGGCTGGCTTCAGCTGGCCCCTTAACAATACTATATATATATATATATATATATATATATATACTAGTTCGGCGAAATGGACGCCACACTAAACTCCGAAGATGTCAGTCTTTGTTAGATGTATTGATGAATAAATGGGTGGTTCGATTGATGGCTGTTTTTAAATGTCCACTTGAAAATTAAATGCATATCCTAGACGAGAACATGTCAGTACGATATGAATATGAGCCCTGTTTTGTACTATAGACACGCAGAGTTTGAATTTTAACATGCTAGTTCACAAGGTAACGGTAAAAAATGTCATCCTAACCGGACACATTATCAGTCTGTCTCAGAACAGATCAGTCTTTGCTCTTACTCCTTAATGCGGCATGCCTAGCGAAGAAGCACCAACTACAAATATAAAATAAAGAGATGTGATATTATTCGTAATGAGACAACTATATCCACCAAAGTTCAAAGGAAGTGGATGTAAGAAGTTATATGCAACTGTATGGCCTGCAACAATGGGAAAAACCCATACCGTATAGTCGGCTATAAAAGGCCCCGACGTGGAAAATATGAAACAAATCAATTTAGAAAACTAACGGCCTAATTTATAACAAAACAATTTACGAAAAACAAATATGACGGACATGAACCAACGACAACCACTGAACTACAGGCTAGGCACATAAAGAATGTGCGGGGTTAAACATGTTTGTGAGCGCTCAACCATCCCCTTACCCTGGGACAGTGGTGTTGCAGCACAACATAAGAACAAACTATAAAAATCAGTGGAAAAGGTCTTAACTCATTAGATCGATACAATGCAGAAAAAACATCTAACAAAAACACAGACCGGACGTGGCAGGGTATCTACACATCCCTCACAACAAAAAAGACACAAAGTATAGATCTGAGAGTACTCGCAGTTACTGAAAGCTAGTTCAAAGCCAATAACAACTAATAAAAAAAAGCATGTATCTTAGACTAAAATATCAATCAGTATACACATCCAACATACAATGGATTTAGTGTAAAGACGTCATTAACAGTCAGTGAAAAACATGACCTTGTGCAATGCCAAATTATAGGTATCGACCGATTGTAAGTTCCTATGGTAAATTTCGGCAGTATATTTATAGAATTTTTGATTATTTAAGTTGCCCACAAGGACTCGGTTAGCAGATTAAAATTTTGTAAATCAATGTTTTTCAATTATTTTTTTTTCCGTTTTTCCCGTGTATTTGTATAAGATTATTAACGTTCTTTAATATTTGGAATATAAAATATCAAAATGGCTTGATTTTTTTTATAAATCTGGTCGTTAGTTTTTTTCGTTTGAATTGTTTCCATTTTTCATGTCGGGGCCTTTTATTCTGAGCCGACTATACGGTATGAGTTTTTTTCTCAATTTTGAAGGCCGTATGGTGGCCTATAATTGCTTATATCCACTTCATTTGAATTCTGGTGGATAATTGTCTATATCACATCCTCTTTATTATGTTTATATTGCATGATATGCTATATCATATATATAAGGTTATGGCATGCACTCATGTCGCCCTACTCTGGGACTATTACACTAACTATTAGAATCATAGTCCAGTCCTAAACCACCTGGACTCATTATTCCGACTCCGAACTCAGCCAGTCTTTGCTTGAGTTATTTATAATGCCGTGTGCTTAGCAGAGAAGCAGCAAATACCTTTTTTTGTTTGGCCCGGCACCCACGACCTCCCGTACTTAAGGCAATCACGTTACCTTTAGACATCCGCTGATAAACAATTTGAACACGGTAACTGATTAATGTGTAGATTAACGAAATTTTGTGTGGAGCTTATACATCATGTTATAGTTATTTATAATTAAATTAAACGTCAAATATGTCGTGAAAGTTCATACGCTTATATATAATGGTTAGTGTATATATTCCGACCCCTCCCCTTATGGAGCTACATTGTGGTTAATCCAGACTTTTCAAGTTACCTGTTCCATTCAAAACTTTGTTTAGTTTGAGGGCCCGCGACCCCTCGCTTTTCAAAATCCTGGATCCGCCGATCTGCTCCCCACCAAAAATAAAAAACCGCAGGTGCTGATTCAGGCGGGGTGCACCCGTTTCCCTAAATAAGAAATAGATAGGCAATCAAGGTTAAATTACAGTCAATTTTGTTTTAAAATAAGGTCCTCTAATTCCTTAATCCGTATTCTCGACTCTCTCCCCCCCCCCCCCCCCCCCCCCCCGGAACATTAAGTCCTGGCTCCACGCATGATAACTGTTGCTATATGAGGGTCGTAATGGGGGTACCTTCATGACGAATAACGGTAAAAATTCTTGAAAAATGACGTTAACGGTAATTTTTGGCGAATGACGATAAGTTGTACACTTTCTTTTAGGCGATAAAAAAATCGACTGATTTTGACGAATCACGTTAAAAAAATTTCACAATTAACGGTAACGATAATTATTTGAGACCTCTGACAAATCACGATAAGAATATTTTGATGAATCACGGTAAAATTTTAACCAATTTGACGCTAACGGTAGCCGAAAATGACCATTTGACGCCTGACGGTAAAGGGCATTCCTACCCTCCTATATATCAGCTTCCAAGACAGCAAAATCATCGGTAGGTCAAGTTGACATTTATTCACGGTAGGTTGCTATATTCCAAATAGTGCCCGAATACAATTATTAAGTTGATTATAGAATAATTAAGCATGTTAAAGCTATCAGTTCGTTCTTGGATTTATATTATCATAGTTTGTTTTATTTGACAAGTCAATCCTGTGCACTCGACATGGATCGGCATGCTTAACATGATCTAACATTTGTAACGCATTTAGAAATGCTAACATTTGAAACTGACAAAATATATAAATAAATTTCTGGTAAGAGATCAGCAGATCTTATCAAACTTTTACTCTCAGCTGATGACATTTAAATACAGTAACAACGAATAAGGTAATGTCATAGAGCTGTCTGCATTCCAGACATAATAGCCTCATAGCTGTCATGGCGGAAAATTTATTGGTTTTATAGAACAATCAGTGAGTTTTGTCTTTTCAATGTGATATCATAAGATTCCTTGCAACAAAATCAATATGATCTGTCAGTAACAATATGCTTTTAACTACAAGTTTTGGTGTGATATTGCAAAACATGTTTTAATATTTCTAATTCTCCCAACTGTCATTTTGGAACACTGCCAAACAGCTGTTGATTTGTTTCGCGCGTCTTGCCAACCATACAGTGAATGGGCTTGGGAATTTTATATTCTTCCGCGTCTAAAAATAATTCACCATGTTTTATGAAATATTTTCGAAGTTTAAGCTTAACAAATGTGCGCCTTATTCCCAAATTATTCCAAACTTGAAATTGATTACAAATTTTATAAAATCTTGGTAGTAACGTAACGAGTAGTAAAATTGCTGTCTGTCGCCTCGCACCTTGAATCGACCTACAGCTGTTTCCCGCCAATTATTACTCATTCTTCTTCAACGAAGGCGACCCGAGCGTGAACTGTCGGTGTACTATCACTAATAATTCAAGTTTAACCTATATTTACATTTGGATTTTTATAAAAAGTGGAATATTATGTCAGTTTATTCAAGGAATAGTGAAAGAAGGAGAGTTTTACCGGAATATTGCAACGAAGACAAGGAATATTCCCAATGTTATGGAAGGTGAGTTGTACGCACGCTTGCTAAATATAAACATTGGCGTAGACATGAGTAACCAGAGCTTGTTTTGTAAATTTCTCTTTTATTATTTGGACTTAATATTCAAACATACTGCCATAAGATGGCAAATATAATATAGTTTCGAAATGCATACCATATTTTGATTGTTTATTGTTTGTTTTATTGATTTTGATGAAAATACATCTTTGTCTACGACCGGCAGGTCACATGGCTTGTTTAGAAAACAAAGGGCACGTAACTCGTGTTACATAGCGTTACGTGTATCAATGTTGATTATAAAACTGCTTTAAGCAGTTGATAACATCTTTGTTGAAGTTATTTATGTAAATGACTATGATATTGTTTGACATAAGTTAATTTTCTACTTTTGATATTTTAATTTTATGAGATATTTTGCTTTCCATATGGTGTCGGTTGATTGTCTCATTCATGTCTGGAAATCAGCTGATAAACGAAAACTTTGTAACTTGTGATAATCGTTAATGGAAAATTAATCACAGGACTTATGAGCAGTACACTTGCATTTATCAGGAAGACATACATACAAGTTATTCATAGAAATATCAGATTTATCAATGTTTATATTATTTTGTGAAAAAAAAATTGAGGTTTTACAATACTGACATATACAATGTATGTTTGAATTTAATAATGAGCAGAAAGACATACTTAAAACTTATTCATATTAATCTAAGATTTATCAATTTAATTATCTTGTAAAAAAAGTTGAGGTTTTACAATACTGCTCATTGTACATGTATGTTATGAATTAAACGATTTTACTGTTGAAATCATTTTTCAATTCAAAAATTCTAAAATTATACAAATAACATTTTATTAGAACAAATTGGCGAAAGGTGTAAAGGTGTATACATGTACATTGTCCATGTTTTATGCTGATAAAAAAGTTACAATTTGGAAATATATGACGGAATAAAAAACAAAACAAATCCAACAGCATTGTGCCATATAATGCCAGTTATTAAGCCTTTCTGACTCTGCATCTGAATACATTTGTAGGTATGTTGCAAGGCCAGTATATTTATTTATTACTAGAAAATACCTGTGAAATATACTTAGGTTCATAATTTGAATATAAATATATAGTTAAGTTTTGGTGTAAGGCGATATTAAGATACTTTTTGAGTTTTTGCTGAGCAGACCATAATACTTGCAGACAAAGCGGAAATGATGACGGCACGTTCATTTTTGCTAATTTACCCAAAAATATTTCGCAACATGCTCCGATCTGCAGAACAATTTTTTTTGCCCCCCTCCCCTAACAATAAATCCTGGATCCGCACCCGATGTCTGGTGTTTCTGTGCTCAGAACCACCCCTATATAGGAGTGGGTCACATTCTAGCCGCACTTCAGTACCCATTTTTAACTGAAAACTGAAATGTTCCCCCCACCCTTTTCGTGTTGAATATTGAGGCGGTTTCCCGGAAAGAAAAGCTCTTGACGTGTAAAAATCTGTTGCTAAATTGCTGAGAGCGTCAAGGGAATGTGTATCACAAAGTGTTTCAGTGTAAGGTCAATATTTACCGTATCTGCAACGAAATAAAATTTAATTTTGCCAGGCAGATGTGCAATGACGGAACGTAAATTTCAGAGCCGAACGTCGTGATGGTTGGTCGATCCGAACTGGCTTTTTTCCTATTTGAACCCCCAAATACCCCCAAAAAAAGATCTTGAAATGAACACATAATAAACTATGCTGGTCATTACCCCTTTGTGGTATAAAACAATATTCGTGGATTTTATGTGAAAGAAGAAAAGGCGACACCCAATTTAAACTCTATTCATTTAGTAATATAGATTTAACTGATTTAACATTAGAGGAAGTACACATTATATTAAAGTCATCTCAACAAGTTTAATTTCCCATATTTTATTCATATGATTACATATTGTTCCATATTTAGTCCACTGAAACACTTTCTTATTACACAAAAGCGTTGAACAACAGGAAAGACCATGTTATAAATGTAGGAAAAAGAAAGACCACAGTTACTTTACAATAATGTTAAACAATCTGTTTTGTTAAAATTGTGTCAAGTACACAACTTTCTATTTCTATGCAGCAAGGCAGCAGCTATAAGTATAGAAAATGAAATGATAAAAGTGAAGCCTTTATATATTAAAAGTATTTCTATAATGTACATACAGGTATATAAATAGAAAGACCTGATAAAGTTTTATTGATAATTCTGCATGTTAAATATTAATAAAAGTACAAATGTAGAGCAAACTTGGAAAGTAGGTTTATGAACTCATTAGACTGGTATGGTTTTCAAGTGCAAATTGTGTGTTTCTTGAACTGCCTACAGCAGGTTTGCTTGAGACATGTCAAGGAGAGGTCTTTTCTAACATATGAGAGTTGCTTCTTTATGCTATGATGTCAAAACGATGAGATGAAAATTTTCACTAAGGTTGTACAAATGTACATATTGTAGATCTTGACACATATATTTTTTTGTATTTAAAGTAGGGCTAGCTGCTAGTTTGCAATATACATTGTACATGTAGGATATTCTTTGAAAATAATGGTTATGACATTATGAACAATGTATACATTTACATGTACATGTATGTTCAATGCATGAATGAAAGAAATAGTTTAATATATAGTATTGTTAAATTGTATGTATAAATTAGACATAAATTATAACCTCAAAGGTTGACTATGGTAAAGAAATTCTGTGTTCTTGCAGTAAAACTTCTGATACATTGGGGCGACTGTTTGGCTGTGCAGGATGTATAAGATCACAGTGGTGTCCAGTCTTCATTGATAGACAGCTATCCATGTCATGTTTGCAGTTAGTACACTAATCTTGTACATTTTGTACTTACATTTGTACATGTATTTTAATTTTGTAAATTTTGTTTTACAGTCAGGACGGTCATGGTCATTTAGAGAGTGAAAAGAAAGTACGTAGAGAAATAGCTAACAGTAATGAAAGGAGACGAATGCAGAGTATAAATGCTGGATTTCAGTCCCTGAAAACACTCATACCACACAGCGATGGAGAAAAACTCAGCAAGGTAATGAATATTAAATTTTGTTTTTGTTTCGATGTGCTAAGATCACAAAATTTGTCACCAACACACAAACTCAGATTACGAAAGAAAATCAAAATTAAATTAAATTTTTTCATTTCTTAATTTACATCGAGATGTTGTTAAATGAAATTGGATACCCTGCATTAATCATGCTTTTCAGTAACATATGATCAAATTACTGAAAGACCCTCCTCCTAAATTATTGAAAACTATCATTCTGCATTGACAGTAATATCTCTGTGTAAATTAGATACACCCTTATGGGTTAACACCCATCGGCAAGGTGTATCTAATACATAAAGTGATTAAAAATAAATATTCCTGTAATTTTATAAATGGGATCTGTAGATTCATCAAACATTTACACTGAATGTGTACATGTATATATATAGATACAGTTTGTATGTCGATTTAAAAGGTCACATGTATTGATAAACAAAAAATTCAATTGTCAATAGAAAATTTATAGAGTAAAAAAAGTTGGGCGGAAAAAATTGGAGTCGATTATCAACATTTTATATAACAACCCTTGATCATTGACTTGTTTAGATTTTGTTCAATATCAGCTGATCATTTTTATAGTATGAGAAATGAATTTCTGTTGGCAGCTCGCCAAAATACTGCATCTGTTGCCAGTGGTAAACCTTGATCGGTGCACAACAATCAGTCCGTTCTGCAGATCAATTCGTCTGCTTAAGTTATTGGCTAGTCTATAGAATAAAACCAATTATTGATCCCACTGAATTTCTTTGCATTGCTTTGCACAATTTGTATTGTAAGAGGGTTTCAGTTGTTTGACCTGGAATTAAATCTCATTGATTAGATTTTAAGTGGGTCAGATCATGATCATGTGACTTCAGTGATTATTGACACTCCCTGAATTCCTAAGGTAAAAGGTACAAATATATGTATGACTATGTAGGTAAATTTATCTGTGGTCAGCAGATATACGGAGAAGTTTATATTTATACTTTTCAATTCATTCGTAAGTGCAAATCAGTAATGTTGATAAAGCTTATCTGAGAAGTGAATTGGTGTAATGTTAAGAGTCTCTTTATTTTGGTTTTTTAACTAGTATGAATTAACGGGATAATTATATAAATATTAAACAGCTGTTTTTAAGAAAATTTAGGTCACATTCCCAGGGAGTGTTCAGGTAGCTCAAAATAATTGACATTTTTGTGGTGTTATAACACACACAGAAACCACCCATGCATGTAGGACAGGCAATACACATTAATCAGTTATCTCTCTGTTGTCATATGCAGGTACATTTTTGTACAGCATTTGCATAATTTCCTTTTACCCCCTACATAGTTATGTGTTTTATGGTAATTAAAAAGGGATTCAAAAGGTGACAAATTTTTTTTTACTACAAATGTACATAAAAAAAAACTCAATTAAATTAACAAATTTTGTATTTGCATAATTTTTTCTTAAGTCTGTTTCAAAGTTATTTTAAATGGAAATAAAATATATGCCATGAAATTATAGATGGCAAATTAGTGTATTTTAAATTAAAAAAGAAACTGAAGCATCATGTACATAATTTTGTTTTACCTTTTTGCAAAAGTTATGCATAATTACAGTAAATAAATGATAATGAAAAAAATAGGAAATGAAAACATGGCAGCTATTTTATGTAAATAAATAAAATTATCTAAATACAAATTTGAAATGATCAATTTCAAGGATACTAATTACTTGATTTTAATGATACATTTACATGTGAACATGCTAAAAAAAGAAAGATGCCACATGTGTTTACTCCAAACAAAAATTAAACATGCAGAGTACATGTTGTAACATGATCTCTGTACATTTATTTACATGCAATGTAAACAAACATGACCTGAAGTGACCAGACATTTCAGTGACCCCTGACAGGTTATGATAATATCTGGTTTCAGGTGAAACAAAAATCTATCATTTAATCATCTGACAGCTGGTCTTGCTCAGTAAATTATCTTGTTAAATTAACTTGTCAATTGCAATCATAGTCAATCAGGAAAGATAATTTAAGAAATTTAAGTCTTTGATGTAGATGGCAAAATTACATTTAGATACATTGTACATAAATCTAACATTGTATATTAAAGTATAGTGTATATTCATGAAATGTATACATGTACATATATGTATGGTTCATTTGTTAACTTTTAACTTTTTGCCGTAGCAGAGGGGGCATTAAGTTTTACCCTTGTCCGTCTGTACGTCCGTACGTCCCAAAATTGGTTTCCTTTCTCTCACTTTAGTTTGCCTCAACCAAATATTAAACAGTTGTGAAACTTATACACTATGCTTATTACCACAAAACACAGATCAAGTTTGAATTTTGGTGTTGTCACTTTTACCATTCTAGAGTTATGCCCCTTTACAAATGGAAAAAAATGCTGAATTTTTTTTTCTGTTCTCTTAACTTTAGTTTGCTTAAACCAAATGTTATGAAACTTATACACCATGCTCATTACCACAAAACACAGATCCAGTTTGATTTTTGGTGGTGTCACTTTTACCGTTCTAGAGTTATGCCCTTTACACAAGGAAAAATTGCTGAATTTTTTGTTTCCATTCTCTTAACTTTAGTTTGCCTCAACCAAATGTTATGAAACTTACACACAATGCTTAATACAACAAAACACAGATCAAGTTTGAATTTTGGTGGTGTCACTTTTTACTGTTCTAGAGTAATGCCCCTTTACAAATGGAAAAATTGCTAAAATATTCGTTTCTGTTCTCTAACTTTAGTTTGCCTCAGCTAAATGTTATGAAACTTATGAACAATGCTAATTACCAAAAAACACAGATAAGTTTGAATTTTGTTGGTGTCACTTTTACCATTCTAGAGTTATGCCCCTTTATAACGTTATATGCAAGCGGGGCATCATTCCCCATTTATTTATCCATACGTTTACAAATGTACAAACATGTATGAGTTTAACAGAAAAACCAAAAGAAAATGAGGCATTCCATTTTAAAACACCCCCAAATAATGAAAATTAAAGGAGAATGTGTCCATGGGACACAGATGATGCCCCCGCTTGCACATAATGTTATAAAGGGGCATAACTCGAGAATGATAAAAGTGATGCCACCCAAATTTGAACTTGATCTGTGTTTTGTTGTAATAACCATTGTATATATCAATTTTATAATAGTTGGTTGAGGCAACTAAAGTTAGTGAACAGAAATCAATGTTGGTATGTACTGACGGACAAGGGTAACAATTAATGACCCTCTCCGGTGAAGATGGGGGCATAAAAAGAAAGCTGTATCATATTTTTGGCAGATTTGTAGATTTATCAGTAAAATTGGTGCATAAAATATATTTAAACATACATGTACATGGAAGCATATTGACACATTAAGTTTCTGTTTTTTTAGGCTGCTATTCTTCAGCATACTGCCGACTTCATTCAGAATCTGAAAAGAGAGAAGGATAGACTAGAATCCGAAAATTCTCAACTCCAGAAAATGTTGACTGGTGGGTATCATGGCTCTCCACCTCGGAAACGCTGGAAGAGGGATACAGGTAATGAAATAGACTGCTGCAGAATTTGCAATTAACGTAACATTTAATAATTATATTTCTGAAAATTCCTAAAACATCCAGTGAAATTTTACCAACTGACAGAAACATTATTGTAATTGTCTACTGAACTAACTGCCCAGTGAACCATCATGTATCTTTGCAACCTCAGGGCCTAGGTGGCAGAGTGGTCTAAGTAGTTCATCTACTGTATGTTTATCACAAGCCTCACTACTGACAGAGCTCCAGATAAGAATTCACAAATTGGGGTTTTTACCCACCATTTTTGTATGTAATTGGGTGATAAAGTTTTTAAATTGCATTATCAATTCCAATTCACCCCTCAAGCAAATATCAAATTGGGTTTTTCACCACCAAGCTCCTTAATGTATTGGGTTTTTTCATCAACACAATATTGAATGTTTAGGCATGTTATAATCACATTATATCAACCCCATGCAGATATGTTTTTCCATCTTAAATGTGTTTCTTTCTTTGTATATATGCTAGCTGTTTTATTTGGTTTATTCACTGACGAGCAATTGTACGTTTAATTTGTGTCTGATTTTAAACGTTCTGCCAGTTTTGTATTTTCTCACAACTTATATAAACTGCAGCTGGTGTCACTAGTTGGACAGTTACTAATTACCTTTCTAGATCCCATATGATCACCCTACAGTTTAGTTGGGGTAGGCGTGGCTAAGTGTTTAGATTTTTATGTAATATATGTGAAATTTAGGTGCTGTAAGAAAGTTTTGCCAGTCCTTTCACCTATTTGCCAGATCTACTTTTTAATAAAAATAATAAGTAGTTCCCAGATTTAAGATATACCCCAAAACCTTGACCAGGTTTATAGGTTTAATGACGGAGACCACATTCAACTTAAATTGACAGAGTTAAATTTACAAATAATTCTGCAACATCAAATAAATAAATGACAATGTTAAACTGCACTTGCCAATAAGACAACTATCATAAGCATACAGAACAATAAGACCAAAACAAAGAAAGTGTCAAGATGCATTGACGTAAAAAACGGATATGTGTATTCACTCATCAACTAAAATGAAAAAAAATAATATATAAACTAAAATTATACTTGAATGTTTTTGTTTAATATAATTTACATAAATCTGGGTTAAGTTGTCCCAGCTGATTAGAACTTTTGGTTTCTGATGCTTTCCAACTACATATATCATGTCATAATTGATTTGGCCTTTCACTTTTTCCAACTGATTTCGTTCTTGACAAAACCCCGTGTTTATCGTTCTAGCAATGTTCTCGTTAAGGTACGCAAACAGGTCTTGTTATCATCATAATAACTTTCCCTAAAGTATCAAAAAGAAGCTGAAAACATGCTTCTATTCAATATTTTTATCGGATATTTACTTTCATTTTAATTCATTGTATGTTTTAATAAATCCCGAAAAAAAAATATGACAATAAGACAAACGCTAATTGGATAAACGCAGAGAAGATCGAAATGTTTTCATAAACGTGTACCTTTTGAGCAACGGAAAATTCCAACAGGGACCAATTTCGGCTACTTGATGCAAGGCTCTATTTTTAGAACGAAAGGACATTTCCAATTATAAATATTATAAAAATAGATTTATGCGACGACTGTAATCAGATAAGGGTAAATAACGCAAACAATAGCGAATAAAAGCGTTAAGAACTCATGGTTTTGGCATATAATTGGGTTTTCCTTTGAATTAATTGGGTTATTGAACCCTGCAATGGGCAATTGCATTGGGTTTTTAATTATTTGTATTGTGTGATCACGCAAATACGCAGCTTATCTGGAGCTCTGTACTGAGCATGAGTTTGAACCTCGCAAGTGGCAGGTGCGTTCCACTCCAATCTTTATTGACTATGAAAGTCAGTTTTCTAGCTTGAGGTTGTTTTTCTCTAGGCACTAAGACTTCCTCAACCAAAAAAAATGACTGCCATGATAAAGCCAATAGAGCTGAAAGTAGGGTTGAACATCAATTATCGATCCCTAGACCGTGTCAAGGTCATTAAAGTTGTAGATCAATCTTTCAAATCTCTGCATTCATGTTGGTATGAGTAGCTCAAGCTCTAATGTAAAATGTAGCTGACAAGAAAAATGACTTAACACTTAATCTTCTTCCTTATAAACAAGTACAATATTTACATTGTAACTGCACACTTGAATGACAAGGAAATGCTTATTAACAAGAGTGTGTGGTTAAAACATCTTCATTTTAAATACTAATATAGATGACACTTGGATTAAAAAAAAATAGTTGAGGATGTTTTTACAATGTAATATACTGAGCTACAATTGTACATTGAACATATTTTGCATTGCACACAAATTGTTTTCCAACTCTGAATTGACCAAATAAATAGGGAATTATTGCATATTCACTTTGAGAAAAAATTATGCATATAAATTACGCTATCAAAATTTAAAATAGAAGTTATTTTTCACAAAACTTATCATATATATGCAATAATAAAAATAACAAAAAAATTCTGAATTTACAGTAATTCCTTCAATTTTATTACAGAATTACATCACAGACATTTATTTTTCAGAATCATCAGATGAAGGCATCACAGCCGACTATGACGAGTTGTCTATTGATGATGTCCGACGGGAAATGGTGGCCATGAAGTGTCAGCTTGAAAGGGAAAGACGGCTCCGTATAGAATTAGAGAAACATTCATACCCAAGCAACATCAGAGAGCTGGCCAATCAAGTGCAGATAGTTCAAATGCAGACTGACGATGTGGTAGGTACATTGTATATCGCATTATCCGATTTTTTAAATTTTTATTTATAATGGGGCTACCATCCTATTAATGTTGCAATCCCCATTAGTATTTTTAAGACTAGTTCATGAAAAACTCCTACAGAAAATCACAGATTAACTAAGAAGATGACTAAGATTTTGAAATTAAGAGGCAGTACCTTTTACTTTTACCCTCCTATATATGCTACTGATAAGTACCACCTGAATTCAGGATTACTTATTCATGGAATATATTGAAAGTACCAGTCAACATTAAGATAATGAAACCCCGAGGCAAATATCCTATGACCTGTTTCTGGATAGGTTATAGATTGTTTATTGACAGAGTCAACAGATAATCACTATTGATAGGCAATTGTTATTAGAGCATTGTTATGGCTAGTTCTATGTTTATTTATCAGAAACATAGTCAATTTGGCAGTTACATTAGCAGAATATATTAGCTTAACCTTTCTGCACTTAGATACATGTATTGTGAGGTAATCAGCGGTTGCTAATAAAATCTGGCATATTGGTATGAAAACAGTGGGTGGTATAGGAAACCTACATGTACATGCAGCGGAAATTTTAAGTAATTCTGACTGCTGTTCAACATTATTAATTTCGGATGGTTCTGTAGCCCTGTATTGTTGATTTTGGTCTAGAGGTAGATGCAGATAGACATAGCTTTTTTTTAAAAAGCCTGATATTTCAGCAAGATATAATTATTTAAGGCATTTTTTATGCAGGTCATGTTTTTGTTTTTTTCCAGGTATATGTTGACAGCACAGCTGATGTTAAAACGGAGATAGAGATGAAAACAGAAGAGGACAAACCAGTCATTATTGTAAAAGACCATGATTCTCAGGAATCCGTGTCGAGTAGAAACATTGCTACGATCGTAGAAGCTATTCGTCATCTGGAAGGTGATCGGCTAGGCTTTGAAGATCATCGAAATGAACATTCCATTCCCCACAGCGAGGAGGATGAAAAAGAGAGTAGTATTACAAGTGACCAAGAGGACATGGTGAATTCGGATAGTGATTCACCGATGTCTTACCGACCCCAACAGCATATAGACATAAAATACCACACAGAAGTTTTACATTCGCCCCATTTAGAACATTATGTATATCGTCCCGGTGTTATAGTTCAGAAATCCTAGGATCACATCATCCTCATTGTTTTCATTTGTAAATATTCCATTGCGATTCATTTTCATTTCTGTTGCTAACTGCCATTTTTTGTACATTTTTTAATCATATAAAAGGAAGTTTTGCTCAAATTACACTATATAAATTTGATTCAACATTTTTTCTTGTGGTACCAAACAACTGGATCATCTAAACAACTGTAAATATTTAGAACGTTGAAAGATGCTTGTTTTATACTTGTCTGATCATAAAGTTAAAAGTATTACAGAATTGCAGAAAAGATAAACAATTTTTAAAGATATGATGTATTGGTCTGACTAATTTAATACAAAATATATATATTAATCTTTAGCAGTTATAAACATAAAAAGAAATACCCATGCTTCATGTAAAATAAACTGATTTGAAACGTGGAAAATTTGATGGATCAATTTTACAGGTGTACGTACATAAATGTCTTGTGTTTTTTTCTTTTTAAATGCTTGTGATCGATTTAGTACTATTTTCACTCATAGCTTTAATTATCATCACTGACATTTCATTACATTTCTTTGTTAAATTCTTTGCAACATTTGTTTTTGATGTGAACAATGAAAGGAAGAAAAAATATGTTAAAAATGACTAGGTACCAGAAAATGGTCTGACATCAATTTATGGAAATATTGTTTTGAGTGTAAAAAGAAATATTCATCTCTTTTGAATTAAAATGTTGTGAAAATTATTCAAGGTCAAATTAGAATTTGAAAATAGTGTTTATACTAGTTTAATAATGTACAGTTGCAAAACACTAATGGTTATTTTTCAAGATAATTATTTTTGTTTCACTTTGAAATATTAATTCAGTTCAAAAATTAAAACAAGATATGCACTGTTGTACATTGCAGGGCTACTTTAAGTTTCAGCAGTCGTGCAATAATACATGTAAATGCTTCTTTAGTCACCTCCATCAAATTAAATACATTCCAGTATCATTTTTTTCATTGGTAAATATGCAAATTATTTGTTTATTAGTGGAAAATGTTGACAATGAATTATGGGCTACATGTACTTCAGAAGATGTTTGAAATATAGGGTTGTTTTAGGTCCCTAGAACCGAAAAGAAATTTTCAAATGGAAATTGAAAAAAACTTTTTTTCTGTATTGTAACTATTGTTTCTAAAACTGGTTTTGGCTTTCTAAGAGAATTTTAACTTTTTATTTCTAAATTGTCAAGATTTTAATTGGTCATTTAACAGAGAAAATTTGATATTTAAGATACAATCGTATGAGTAATTCTCTACTTTTTCCAGGAAAAGCCCAAAATAAAAAGATGTACTTCTAAAACTATGTACATGTCAACTTGACTTAACTTGTTAGTGCAGTGTTAAATATTAAGGTGTGCTTCTTGTAAATTGTAATTTGCAGTGTTTTTGGAAATCCCCTTTATTTTGATTGTTACTATTTATAGTTGTAAACAAATCCTTTACCTGTATGCACTTTATAAAATAGAGAAATTTTATACTCTAAGGTTTAGATTCTGACATCTGATTTCATATGATAAAAATAATTTTGCAAGTGTAAAAAAGTAACATTTGGTGTCAAATTTTCATTAAGAAAACAGGCTTAAATAATATAAGTAAACTGCATAATAGTGTACTAAAAATTGTTTGAAAGGTAAATGCCCATTAATTCCAAGGACATACGTAATATATATCTCCCAGGAAGCTGATTTGAAACATCCATTGATCATGTGAACATGCAACGAAATTGATTGAAAAATATCAAACAAAACTCGTAAATGTCACAGGTGTTTTTTTTCCATGAGAACAGCTGATCGTGAATATTCTAACAACACTGGGTTAAAATCCTGTCTTCATTTTAAATTCATTGATATTTTATCAGTGTTCAGCAGAGCATGTAATTCAAGTGATGTGTTTCGACCAGAAGTATTTTTTAAAGTTTCACCCAATTGGACATGATTGTCAAATTGATTCATTTTTTGCATGAATTCATAGTTGTCTCTCCGGGGTCTGTTTCCTCAAAGAAGCTTCAAAATTCGAAATTTCTCCCCGTGTTAGGTAAAAAAGATTCTGTGAGTAAACTAAAGCTACATACTTAAATTATGGGATTCGATCTTGGAAGATTTTTTTAATTCTGATAAATAATCATCTGTTTCTAAAATCTACTGTCTGTCAAACTCAACCTTAGAAACATTTCTTAAATTGTTTCTGTTATACATGTTAAAAAAGATGTTATACTTTGTGTTCCTATATTATATCTGTTTTTTATTAGTGTTTGTGTGATAAATTTCTGTTTTGAATATATGAGAGAATTGTTGATTTCGGTTTGAAATGTACATTTGTTTGATTGTATTGATTTCATTATATTATTTCATATACTTCTCATTTTGTACATATATCTGTTTATTTATTAATGATTCATTTATCAGTTGTTATGATTTTCTTTTTTCAGAAAATTACTTTGTTTATTTGTGTATAATTTGTATAAATTGTAATTATAAAAAAAATGCATTACACCTTGAATATGCGTCCATATTTTTTTTGGTTACATTGTCAATGGCTGTTTTTTGGGGGGAAGGGGTATTATGAAATTATGGAAAAGATAAAGAAATTTGTTTTGACTGATGAAATTAAAAGATCTTTTTAAAAAATTACCTTTGAGGGGGGAGATGGGTGAGAGAGTAGGAAATTAAGACCACTACTTATACTGCAACAAACTTTATTTCAATATAAGCATATATATATAAGAGTAGTTCCTAGTTGATAATACATGTATCTAAAGCCTTGGCACTGGAAAGCAGTAAGATATGGACATAATTCAAGGTTTTAAAATTGCTATCGGAGGCAGCAGAAAATACAGTGTGCTAGCATTACCTTTATTTGTACATGCTATAAATTTTGTATGCATTTCTTTTTTAAAAAGTCTATAAGTGTTATATATATTATAATATATGTATATTATTTCAAAAGATTTCATTTGGAAACTATGTCAAAAGTCCCATTTCATCTGCAACATACATTTACAGACTCCCTTTATAATTTCATTTTTCATTGGAACACCTTTTCCTGAATTTATATTCAATTCTAAATGTCTTTTTACAAAATTTTACTATGACAAATAATGTTTGAACTTCATATTGGAAAGGAAGATTTTTGTAAAATTTGAAAGGCTTTCTAATAAAGCTTAGGACATCATGTAATGTAATAACTTTAAACTGTCCCTGAAAATCTTTCCTTTATTGCGACCCTTTGAAATATTGTTATACGTATTTCACCTGTCAATAATTTTGTAGATTAAAATTTAGCTTATTAAAGGACTTTAAAGTTGAACAATATTACATCAAGATAAATCCACTTTCCATTATATTCCATCTTACAAAGGAAATTTTCCTCTAAAGATGGACTTTCAGAATTATGTAATAGCTAGTTAAAAAATTGAAATGAGATCATGGTGATTTATAAATAATTTTCTTCCCTATTTGGCCATGTCCTTAATACATCAAATAAGTCGATAGAAATATTTTATACCATATAAAGTTTCTAAGGAAGTTCTAAAGTGATTAAGTTGCAAAAGAATTAGAAGTGGATCTACTGCACATCCTTTTAAAGTCATTTATTAAGTACTGAAAGCTTTTGATTTAAATGTTCTGGTTAATTGAAAAACGTTTTTTTGAAGTTTTGTCTTTCATTATATCAAATATCATGCATGGTCTTATAACTAGAAAATCCATTGATGAATCTGGCATGATGAATCTAGCAAGCAGATGGCTTAGAAATGAATATACCTATGGATTTCTGTTCTTTTGGATGTCTGGTAAACTACTGAACTTATTGACCTTTTGAGTCTTGGGGATGAATATATAGTCGCGCGGGGGGGGGGGGGGGGGTCACACAAGATAAACTTATCATTTAGATAATAAAAATATATTTTCTCAGCCGAAAAACTTCTGGTAGTTCCAAATGAATTATGAATTTTTACTTGAAATTTTTATGCAAATGAGCACAAATTTTGTTTGCCTGATTTTACTTGGTTTTATATTATTCAGTTCCCCTAAATTTCCATAGGGTTGACTTGTAACTGCATTTTTGTCAAGTGTGTAATATTTTGCCATACTCGAACATTTCCTTATCTGACTCTTGCTAATGGTGTTGCATATTTTTACAATCAGACAATGTTATCTTGGGGTGTTGGTTTTATAACAGGAGATTAAATTTGGACTATTTCTTGTTCAGTAGACAGTAGTTGAGAATATGAAGTAACAATTTGTTCTCTTAATCTGTTTTTGTATGTGAATTTTTATTTTTTCAAACTTTAGAGATGAATTTAAAATTTTATTAAGAAAGTCAATGTTGATGCTAAAATTATTTTCACCTGTATGGGTAAAACTATGAACAAGTAAATATTGAGAATCTGCCTTAGGCCAGAGCGGGGCAGGGGATATTTTTGAAAGACAAGTAATTGTTAAAATGACCAAATGCTCATTGTTTTTTGTCGAGCCTGCGACTTTTGTCGCAGAAAGCTCGACATAGGGATAGCGATCCGGCGGCGGCGGCTACGGCGGCGGCGGCGGCGTTAGCTAACTTCTTAAAAGCTTTATATTTTAGAAGATGGAAGACCTGGATGCTTCATACTTTGTATATGGATGCCTCATGTTACGAAGTTTCCGTCAGTCACATGTCCAATGTCCTTGACCTCATTTTCATGGTTCAGTGACTACTTGAAAAAAAAGTTCAGATTTTTTGTAATGTTAAATTCTCTCTTATTATAAGTAATAGGATAACTATATTTGGTATGTGCGTACCTTGCAAGGTCCTCATGCCCGTCAGACAGTTTTCACTTGACCTCGACCTCATTTCATGGATCAGTGAACAAGGTTAAGTTTTCGTGGTCAAGTCCATATCTCAGATACTATAAGCAATAGGTCTAGTATATTCGGTGTATGGAAGGACTGTAAGGTGTACATGTCCAACTGGCAGGTGTCATCTGACCTTGACCTCATTTTCATGGTTCAGTGGTTATAGTTAAGTTTTTGTGTTTTGGTCTGTTTTTCTTATACTGTATGCATTAGGTCTACTATATTTGGTGTATGGAATGATTGTAAGGTGTACATGTCTAGCTGGCAGGTGTCATCTGACCTTGACCTCATTTTCATGGTTCAGTGGTCAAAGTTAAGTTTTTGAGTTTTGGTCTTTCTTTCTAATACTGCATGCAATAGGTCAGCTATATTTGGTGTTTGGAGTGATTGTAAGGTGTACATGTCTAGCTGGCAGGTGTCATCTTACCTTGACCTAATTTTCATGGTTCAGTGGTCAAAGTTAAGTTTTTGAGTTTTGGTCTTTTTTTCTAATACTATATGCAATAGTTCAACTATATTTGGTGTATGGAAATATTTTATGATCTATATGTCAGTTACGCAGGTTTTATTTGACCTTGACCTCATTTTCAAGGTTCATTGCTCAGTGTTAAGTTTTTGTGTTTTCGTCTGTTTTTCTTAAACTATAAGCAATAGGTCAACTATATTTGTTGTATGGAAGAATTGTTAGCTGTACATGCCTGCCTAGCATGGTTCATCTGACCTTGACCTCATTTTCATGGTTCATTGGTCAATGTTTAGTTTACTTGGTTAATGTTAAGTTTATGTGACAGTTGTAATAAAGCTTTATATTTAGGACTATCAACATAATATCAATGATTAGTAAAGAAGGCGAGACATTTCAGCGTGTGCACTCTTGTGTTGTCTGGTTGTAAAAATGTGTGAAACATCTTTGTTTAATGACTGTAGGCCACTGAAAATGTATCAAATAGTGCTAATTTGTTTAGTTTTTGGTGTTTGTTCAACATAGATTTGAATGAATACCACAAATGTTTTATTACATAATCTTCTGCGAGTCATCTTGCAGTGGATGAATAAAAAATGTGTTATGAGAATATTGTTTTTCTTCATTCCTCCACAAATCTGGACAGAACAATCTTTGCTGAAGCCACTTATGCACTTAGTGGTCTAGGGAGCTATAGACAGTGCAGAGAGTTTCTACACTAAAGAATGTGTTCTAATCAGCAGTTTGCAGATTAAATAATAAGAAGATGTGGTATGATTGCCAAATAGACACCTTTCCAGCCCATACCAAATGACCTAGAAGTTAGCAGCAACAGTTCACCATATAGCCTTCAACAATGAGCAAAACCTATACTGCCTAGCAAGATTTAAAAAGTACAGACTTAACAAATGTAAAACAATTCAAACGAGAAAACTAACGTCCTGATTTATGGGGAAAAACAAATATGATATGCAACAACTAATAACCACCACTGAATTACAGGCTCCTGATATTGCTAGGTTTAATATATATAAAGGAACAAATAAAAGTATACATAAATCAAAACATATGAAAAAATATACAATTTCATGAGTATCACTGCATCAGGAATGAGATATAAAGGACAGTTTAAAAAAATGAAGACCAAATATCCACTTTTAAGTCATTTAAAAAAGGGTAAATACAATATATACTTGAAAGTTCCAATATA